GAGTCTATGTTTCCTTTTTATTGTACATAGTTCTTTGAAAAAATTTGCAAATCTAGGGACACCCTTTATCAAGTTGAGGAGAGGGATATTTACCTCACATTTGGAGAATGTCTCATAGATGTCTTTGTCCTTCTCCAGCTTTCGCGTTTCCCTTAGAGCCTCGGGGAAGGGTGCTTCAATCTCGGGAATGACCAGTGGTGGGGTTGGGATTTGAACTTCCACCTCCGGTTGAGTTACTTCCACCAGCTCCTCTTCTTCCTCCTCTTCGCCAATGTGGCTTCTCCTTGGCAATAACCAACTCCTTGCCACTCCTTAATGTGACTGCATGGGCTTGTTGCCTAGGATTCGGCTCCGTTTGAGATGGTAGCCTTGCCGAATCCTTAGCTTCAAGCCTACTCACGGCATTTGAGATTTGGCTGATTTGGCTTTCTAAGTTTTGGATGCTGGATTTTGTTGTTTCTTGGAATTGAACCACACTTTGTTGCATTGTTGCCATATTCATGGCAAGTGATCGAATCATGTCTTCGGTGGACATGTTCGAGTTTGAAGTTTGGCCTTGTTGTTTATATTGTGGAGGAGGAAGATTTGATGGTTGAGGAGGTTGAGAGTTTCCGTACCTTAAATTAGGATGATCCATCCCGGATTGTAGGTGTTGCTTTGAGGGTTATACCTCTTTTGATTTTGGAACCCCAAAGCATTGATCTGTTCGACGTTCTCCTCTTGTAGTGTTGGGCAAGAGTCGGTGGGGTGCCCTTGTGTCGAGCATATGCCGCAGACCTTGACTTCTTGAGTTTTTGGATTTAAGAGAAAATCTTTAACCAAAGAAGTCAAGCCGGCTACTTGACTTTTTAATGAGTTATTGGATTCTGCCGCCATAACTCGTTTTGATGATCGCCGATCATAGTGCCTACAATTCTCGGCCAACTCCGAGATGAAGTTTATAGCTTGAGAAGGGGTCTTGTTGACAATCCCTCCTCCACATGCGGCGTTTATCATCCGCCTATCTTCATTGCAAAGACCATCATAGAAATATAAGATGAGGTCTTGCTCCGAATAGCCATGATAAGGACAGCTTGCACACAGTTTCTTGAATCGTTCCCAATATTCGTAGAACGATTCATCATCTTTCTGCTCCACGTTGCTAATTTGCTTTTTAAGAGAGGATGAGACAGAGGCAGGGTAATACCTTTCCAGGAACGCTTTCTTCATGGCTGCCCATGTACCTATACTTCCTGAAGTAAGATAGAATAGCCAATCCTTTGCGGTATCCTTCAGTGAAAATGGGAACGCCCGCAGTTTGATTTGTTCTTCTAGTCACACCGTTTGGGCACATGCTTGTGCAAACGACGTGGAACTCCGAAAGGTGTTTGTTCGGGTCCTCTCCCCTCAGGCCATGGAAGGATGGCAGCAGATGAATGAGCCCAGATTTTAGCTCAAATGTATTACCCTCATCAAGTGTAGGGAAGGTAATACACAGTGGTTGTTGGTTGAGGTTTGGAGCTGTGAGCTCCCTCAGCGTTCTTGTTTCAAGAGCCATTGTGGTTGGCTCTTCGGTGTCGCTAGAACTAGAGCTAGCGGTGTATGAATCTCTGGAAGACGATTCTTCCAAGTCGGTATTAGAAAATTTACTTTTCAACCGCTCGAAAGTTTGTTCTATTTCTGGGTTTTTGTGATATGTGATTTCGTTTATGGAACGATGTTTAACCATAAACTTCCACTAAGCTCAGAAAATAGAAAAATAAACACTCTTTATATTTTTGTTTGATATACATTTTTTTTTATTTTTCTTGATATGAAATAAAAGAAAAATTAATTGCCTTTCCCCGGCAACGGCGCCAAATTTGACGTGCACTTGTCGTGAGGTACACTCAAAATAAATACAATACAACACTAATACGTAGTATAGTGTAGTAAGGTTCGTATCCACAGGGAAAGGAATACTTTTCTTTTATATGAATAGTAACAAGGGGGGTTTAGATTTGTTTGGTTTAAAAACACTAAGATAAACAACCTATATGAGTTTAATTAAATGAGATGAGGACTTGGTTTTGCTTTTATCCGCTTAATGAAATGTTCGTCGATCCCGGTTATATCTTTAACTATCTTCCTCTCGAATACTCAATCGAGGAGTATATCCAGTTCATCGAGGGTAGTTATTAATAACGAGATGCGTTCATTAATAAAACTTACTATCGAGTCAATATAGAACAAGCGTCGTATATTAACTTGATAGTAGCAATAAACTTAAGATGAAAACGATTGAGATTGATAACCTCAACACAAGCGGTTTATTGGTTTAATCAATATAATTAATTTCCCTTGGCATATTAACCATGAGATGCATGCATTAATATTCCAAGTTTACTACCATTGAAAGAACCGGATTAATAACAAGCGTATTAACCGATTGATTCTAGTAATAATTAATATGAGAAACAAAACTAGTTGAAACTTTAAGTAATATTTAAAATATTAATATGAAATATGAATAGGAATTAATTAATATTCAAGGAAGAAGATTAAAGAAAATAACTCACAACTTACAAATTCATTAAGCTTCAAAGTAGCAAAACCAAGATGGAAGAGTTTAGCTCCTCATTTGGAGACTAAACATGATGAAAAATATAAAGAAAGAACTATTCTATACTGAGCTTAGATGTACAAAGGAATTGGATATCTTTTTGTGAAGGAAAGGAGGTGTATTTATAGGCTTTTGGGATGGGATTCAGGTACTCGATCGGGTATATACATGGTACCCGATCGAGTATGTGTGTAACACTCGATCCGAGGTATACTCGACCGGTTTCAGACTGTTTTCCATAAGTATACCCGATCGGGTATATATTAATACCCGGTCGAGTATGCTTAGAAAATGGTATTCGGACCATACTCGACCAATCTTTGTTTAAAATTTCAAAGGCATACCCGATCGGGTATGTCGGTCTACCCGATCGGGTATAGACATTAAATCGTGGCTGAAATCTTCCCGGCATGTTCCCTTGTCTTCGGATCTGATCCGATTTGAAGTTCCAACCTAATACCCGATCGAGTATAGTTAATACTCGACCGAGTATAGACCAAAATTCAGGATCTTCTTTTGTCTTCAAATTTTTGCACCTTCTTTCCACTTTTTGGGTTCACCAACTGTACTTCGAGTGATCAAGACCTGTTTGAGCTCAGAATATATCTAATCTAACCTATTTACAAGAATTTAACAAACTAATCTATTACACCAAAAGTGTGTAATTTCCATAGTAAAGATCAAGCAAAACTAATTAAAAACACAAACATAAATATGGAAATTACAAACGTATCAGAGTGCGAGGGCCTCATGGTCGTTACGTTCATCTGCTTTGGGGTGGTGTGACCATCTGGGTGGCCGATACGGGTGCCGTTGGGATACCGTTGTATGCTGTTGGCCGTAGAGTTCCCTGGCCGTTCTGGGTGTTTTGCTCCCCTTTCCCGTTCCGCAGAGCCTGATTTGCCAGCGGGCTGTTGATATGTAGTTTGGGCTTGACCCGTTGGTGACGTGGTGGCCTCCCGTTGGTGGCCGTTGATGTGGCCATTGGGAGGGTGTCACGTGTAGTGACCGTTGGGTGGGGGGTTCTATAAATACCCCTCTCCATCCGACGAGAATTCTTACTTGCAATCTGAGTTGTCGAAGTGCTGGCCAAATTTCTAGAGAGATAAACTCCCAAGCTTGTGTTCTTCGTGTTCAAGGTTAGTGTTCATCGAAATCTTCTCTATACTTTGCATATTTTGCTTCCTAGGCTAGTGATCTAGTGTTAGGCGCTTGAACATCCTTAGATCTTGAAGTAGGCTGCAGCATACCCGAACTAGTGTTTAAGATGAAAAACTTCAACGAAGATTACTATCCCTACGACGACGAGCCCTCTGCCCAGTCCCTTGATTATGAGCTGGTCGAGGAGTTCTGTGAGGAGCTTGAGAATCTGAGCTCGTTCAGAACCGGGGAGTCGGCCGAGGAGGACGGTGCGGACGAGGGGTCCGCGTCATCGTCTGGAGATGGGGACGCAGGTGTCTCCCGAACTGATGATGGGGCGTCCACGTCGGCTGCCATTCCCTGCCCAAAGCCTGTGTCTGCTGTGAAGGGCGTCGCGCCGCCGAAGAGGGTGAGGAGGCCGAAGAGAGGGCCAGCCTTCTCTTACTTGGATTTGACGAACATCTACGTTATCAGGCCGCAGAGTAATGTGGGTGAATATCTGGTGGCGCAGATGTATGTGGGGCCGTACGGTAGAGTGAGGGCCCCCAGGCCGACGGATCATGTGCTCAATCCACCCCCGGGTTACTTCGGAGTGTACCCGATGAGCTTTGCCAAAGGGCTTAGGTTCCCACTTCATCCCTTTATCACCGAGTACCTTGACATGGTGGGGCTTCCTCCGGCTTTATTGACGCCAAATAGTTACTCGCTCATCGTCGGCTTCCTTCTGCGGTGTGCTGAGTTGGATTTCAGGCCGACGACGGCGCTGTTCATGAATCTTTACCAGATAGGACGCAGAAGTCACCAGAACTGTGCGTCATATGCCACTCTCCAACAACTGCCCAAGAACAGGAGTTTTACTGACCTGCCGACGTCCATCCATGGCTGGAAGGGAAAGTTTGTGTTCGTGTCTTTGGGCGAGGGGGGCACAGAGTTTCCCTCCGTCGGCCATACCGGCAAGTTTTAATCTTCATGATACGCCGATGGGCTCCATCTTAGACGCTCAGGTTGAGGCTTTCCTGAAAGGAGGGCCGAGGAGTGTGAAGACGTATATTACCGAGTACAAAATGGCCGCCCTCGGCTTTGTACGGTATTTTGTGTACGGTGATCTTGACGATGATGTGGAGTTGTGGCCGAAGATGACCACGTCTTATGAGGAGGCCGATGGTCCCGATCCGGGGATGCCAGCTGAGGCCGATGGTAAGTCCCTTCTGATGCGCTTCCTCTCGTCGTACTTTTGTATTCCGTTTTTCTAACCCTTAGTGTTTTTTGTGATGCAGGTTTTGTGATGGATCGCATGTCATTTATGAAGAGGGCACAGCTCAAAGCGGCCGAGGAGCTGAAGGCCCAACAGCCTGGTGCCTCCCTGCGTCCAAGCCCCCGGTGCAGCCGAAGAAGAAACGGCAGGCCGATGAGGGCCAAAAAAAGTTGACCGAGGTGGGAATGAAGCCTCCCAAGAAGTCAAAGAGGGCTTCCTCTGCCGGTGATGCTGGGACATCGGTTGTTCCTTCTGGGGACGGAGGGGGTTCAAACCCTGATGCTTTGGTGGACCACCCTTCGGGCCCTTCGTCCACCACTCTCTCCACTGTTCCTGCTACTGTAACGGCCGCCCGTAAGAAAGGGTCCGACCGAGAGCTGGTCAAAGGGACCTACAAGCTCGAGGCCGAGTACCCCGCCAAAGGGGGGCTGTTCAACGAAATCATTGACGGCCACGAGGTGATTTCTCAGGCTATCCCTGACGAAGACCGGGCTTATCTGAAGAAGCTCGGTCATGTGAAGATGTACGATGGTGGGATGGACCACATCGTCCAAGTAAGTACTCGTGCCCGCTTCGTCTGAGTTTCCTCTCCCCCCTTTTTTTATGCGATGGTCTAACCCATTTTTTTTTTGCAGGGTGCCTTCATGTTGATGGAAAGCAACAGGAGGCAAGAAAAAGAGATTGCCCGTCTGAGGCAGTTCGAGCAAAAGGTGGGCTCGGCCGATGAGGCGTTGGGCAGCTTGGAGAGGCTGCGTCTCGAGGTTGAGAGCCTTAAGAAGAGGACTGGCGAGACCGACCAGCTGGCTGCTGAAAAGGAAGGGGCCCTTCAGCGTCTGGCCGACGTGGAGCGTGCTCGCGACGAGGCCCTCCGGCGTGCGGAGGAGGCCGAGAAGGGCAAGGCCAGTGCGGAGCTTGCTCTTAGCGCCGCCGAAGATAAGGCCGCTGATGCCGCGGTGCAGAAGTTCCTTGAAACTGGCTGGAAGGACAAGGGTCGGCTTCCCTTTTGCTTTGAGGTCGTGGCGGCCAGACTCGTTGACTGGGTGACCCAGTCCCCCGACGGCCAGGTGTACTGGGAGAAGGAGATGAAAATCTTCTACGACCTTGGCCAATACCGGATGCAACGGCTGTTGTATAGGAGGCTTCAAAGGCGTTTCCTGGATATGGGTGTGACTAAGGAGTGGGCCATCGGCCTTGAGCTGCCTCCGTTAATGAGGCATCCTGAAGCAGAGTTGGAGCTTCCGGTAGCTGAACGGCAGCTCCCCATTGAGAGCTCACGCATCAGCGATGACTGGGCGTATGAGCGGAGTATGTTTGAGGACACCGCGACGTCGGGTGTTGCTGCCGGTGCGTCTGCTGCCCTGGCCGAAGAGGGAGCCGAGGCCGAGAAGGACTCTGAAGCCCCTCCAGAGTCATGATCCCTTGTATTGTTTTTCCTTTCTGACTTTTTGACAATGTAACGGCCCAGGAGCCCTCTTTGTACTTTCCCAATCTATGAATGAAAATGCTTCTTTCATACTTATGATGTTTTGTATTATCTTCTTTCGTGTTTGTACGACGTCCCCGTGTGAATGTTTGCTTGCCTCGTTGCCAAGATACTTAGGATTTTTTGAAAATTTTCCAAGTATTAAAATGTCATAGCTTTAGGAAATTTTCCACATAGTTGGCCGATACGGACACCTTGGCCGAAGAGGGGCCCTCAATTGTTTTGGGTGCCCCCTCCGTCTAAGAGTTCGAGAGTTGTAGTCTTCTCTGCTTGGTACCTTTGTCGGCCATAACTTCGATCTTTATGTTCGGAGTCCACTGGCAACCTGAGCAGCCACCTTCGTTGTCTTTGTTAGCAAGACCTTACCGATCGTTGGTGAGGCCGATGCGGGCACTCATAGGTACTTGAGTGTCCGCTTCGTCTTGGGGCTGCCCATGCGGTGAGGGGATTGCCCAACTTCCAGGCCATGTAATTTTCCCTGCGTGGTATCGTCGTCGACCAAGTTGAACGTTTTGGCCGATGAAGGTGCCCGGTGTGTTGCCTCTTCCTTTGCATTTGCTTTCCTTAGAATTTTCTCTAAGTGTTGGACTTCATTTGGTCAATTTCCTTTGGAGATTTTTAGTCCAAACCATCGTTTAGGTTTTAACGCCTTTCGACGGCCAGCAAGGGTCTTGTGGCCGGTAGAGGTTGCCGCCCTTGTGTTTTGACTTTCGCGCGGGTGTTCTAGTGCCCGCTTCGTCCTTGGTAATTCCATTTTGTTTTGTGCTAAGTGATGGTGCTTCAAGGGGTTGTGGCCGATGAAGGTTACCACTCGCGTGTCACCCAACCACTTTGGTTAGGGTTTTATAGGCGTATGCTTCGTCCTTGACAATTTCCTTGTGGTGTGCGGCCGCTTCGTCCACGTTGCCTGTTGGTAATGTTTACCTTTGTATTCAACTGATATGTACTCAGCCAGATGTGGCTGTTTTGTGGGGATTTATTTCTACTGCTCGAGGCCGTCAAGTGCGCACGGCCGTCGGCTTCCCTCTTTTTTTTCTTTTTTTTTTCAAGGAGTGTCCTTCTTTCAGGCTTCGGTCGAAGGGGTCGATGGCCCTTCGGCCAGTTCGGACTTCGTTTATAACGTCCGTGATCTCAGGGGGGGGTCCCGTCGCCTATTTATGACGCGGGCTAGACTTTTGGTTGGTTTCCAACGGCTGTCGTTGCCCATCCCTGAGTTTTGGGATTTCGTTACCTCGGCCATGATTTCAGGCCTGTCGTCCTGCGATCAGGCGCGTGAACGACGCGGTGAACTTCCCGTTTCAAGACGCAGGCCGTTTGCGGGCCCGTCGTCCTGGGGACGTCGTCGGTCCTGCCTGAGCAATTTCGCTCTAAGGGGCCGATACGACGTGCTCTCTCAGCTGGCCTAAACCTTTTGCTGATACAAAATACAATGGGCATGCCCGAGCTTTTTCGCTCTAAGTTTGCAGATGCAAAGCGCCACATCGGCCATGCCTGAGCCTTTCGCTCTAAGGTGGCCGATGAGGGCACTTTGTTCATGTTCAAGTCGAACTCCAATAAATCAAAGGAAACATGATTTTTATTCAAAAGTGGCTCAAGGTCGGGGGTGGCGTTCAATCAATAACCCGTCAAAGGGTGAGGGCTTCGCCGGCTGCACCTCCTTCGGATTATTGATAAAACTTCACCAAATGGTGTACATTCCACGTTCATGGTACATTGGTCCCTTTTGGGCGTTTAAGCTTGTAGGTGTCGGGTTTCACCACGGCACTGACGATGTAGGGACCTTCATATTTCAAGACTAACTTGCCTCCTTCTGTCGGCTGGCTTGCTTCCCTTCGGCGGAGGACGTAGTCCCCCATTTGGAATTCTCGGGAACGTACCTTGGCGTCATAGTATGATTTTACTTGACGCCGGTAGTTCTCTGCTCGGATGAATACTTGCTCGCGTCTTTCTTCGACCAGGTGAAGGTCGATCTTCATGTTTTCCTCATTATCTTCTGGGTCATATTTCTCCACGCGTCGGCTGGGAATGGTGACCTCTGTGGGTGCCTTAGCTTCAAAGCCATAGCACAGGGCAAAAGGTGTTTCACCCGTCGCCCTCCTTGGCGTGGTACGATAGCACCACAGGATGTTGGGGAGTTCGTCGACCCAACTCCCTCCTGCGTCCTGTAGGTTCTTCTTCAGCCCTTCCATGATGGTTCTATTGGCGTTCTCAACCTGCCCGTTGCCTTGAGGGTAGGCAACGGAGGAGAAACAGTGTTTTATCCCCCATTCTCGAAGGAGCTCTTGGAAAAGCGCCGCTTCAAACTGGGTGCCGTTGTCGGATATGATCTCTTGGGGGACCCCAAAGCGGGTGAGAATGTTCTTGTGAACGAACTTCTTACACCTGGCCCCCGTGATGCTGGCCAAGGGTTCCGCTTCGACCCACTTAGTGAAGTAGTCGACTGCGACGATGATGTAGTGGTTGTTGCTGGCAGCTCTGGGCAGAGGGCCGACTAGGTCAATCCCCCACCTCGAGAACGGAATAGCAGTGCTGACGGGGGCGTAGTTGACAGCTGGCCGACCAGGGGCCTTCTGGAGTACCTGGCACGTGGTACACTTCCTGGCTAGGTCCGCACAATCTCGCACCATCGTCAGCCAGAAGAAGCCCTGGACGACGAGACGTCGGGACATGCTGAAAGGGCCCTGGTGTGAGGAGCAAACACCACAATGAACTTCTTCCATGGCTACGTCGGCCTCATCCTGGTGCAGGCATCGGAGGAGAGTGCCATTATAGGATCGTTTGTAGAGTTTGACATCTTCAATGGTGTAGCTTGGGGCCCTGAGTTTGGCGAGTCTGGCCCTCTCCTCGTCCTGGGGCAGCTCCCCCGTCGTGATGAAGGTGATGATGTCGGAGATCCAGTCCTCTGGTCGCTGTTGGACGCACAAGATGGGGCTGGCATGAATGTTGGACATGCTGAGCTCCTCTATCTTGGCTAGCTGGGAGATGTGCTCTGGGGTGTCCGAGCTGAGTTTGGAGAGGATGTCGGCCTCGGCATTCTAGGCCCTTGGGGTCTGTGTGATCTTGTGGGTTTCGAACGCCTTCAGCAGCTCCTCCGGTGCTTGTTTGTACTGCTTCATCCGGCCTTCCTTTGCTTCGTACGTACCCTCAACCTGGCCCACTACCAGCTTGGAGTCGCACCTGATTTTGATGTGTCGATCTGAGGCCGGCGGCGAGTCTGAGGCCGCTGAGGAGGGCCTCATACTCGGCTTCATTGTTGGATACCCTGAAATTGAAGCGGATGGCATAGTAAGCTCTGAATCCTTCAGGGGATATGAGGATGACGCCGCCGCCGCATGATTTCACGGCCGACGAGCCGTCAGTGAAGAGAATCCATGTGTCATCGGGCTCTGGCCCGGCGGCGGTAGCGGCTGTCTCCCTTGCCATGCATTCGGTGACGAAGTCGGCCAAAGCTTGCCCTTTGATGGATGGCCTTGGCTTGATTTCAATCTGAAAATGGCTGAGGAAGATCGCCCATTTCACCATCCTTGAGGAGCTAGTGGGGCTCCTCATGAGCGCGCCAAGGGGCTGCTGGGTCAGCACATGGACGACATGGGCCTGGAAGTAGTGCCCCAGCTTCTTCACCGTATGGACGATGGCCAGCACCGTCTTCTCAATGGGGGAGTACCTGAGCTCGGCCTCTCTGAGTGTTTTGCTAATGTAGAAGATGGCCTTCTGCACCCCTTCGTCCTCACGGATGAGCACGGAGCTGATGGCCGACGTGCCCACCCCTAAGTATAAGAAGAGGGTTTCGCCGGCTTTAGGCTTGGAGAGCACGGGTGGGGACGCATTTGAAGCTGTTGGCTTTACGCATGATCTGGAAGAAGGGGAGTGCCCTTTCGGCTGACCTGGAGAGGAAATTGTTCAGGGCCGCCAGGCGCCCCGTCAGTCGCTGTACTTCCTTGACGTTGCGGGGCGGCTCCATGTTGATGATAGCCTGTGTCTTCTCCGGGTTTATCTCGATGCCCCTCCGGCTGACCATGTAGCCGAGGAACTTGCCGCCTTGGACGCCGAAGGCGCACTTCTTGGGGTTGAGGCGGAGCCTGAACTCCTACATGATTTCAAATATTTCCCGGAGGTCGTCGGCATGGGTAGAGGCCTGCCTGCTCTTGACGATCATGTCGTCGACGTATGCCTCCATCGTCCGGCCAAGGACTGCTCTGAAGA